GCATCAGTGCCATGGGCTGGGAACCACGGTGGGGTTGGATCAAGGGTTGGACTTGATGATCTCAGAGGTCCCTTCCAACCCAGCTGATTCTGTGATTCTACGATTCTATGAACTGTTCTGCTCACCTACTGAAATCTAAGCCTTACCTTCCATTCTTCTGTGTTCCCTTTGGACTGGTCTCTTCTTCTGAGCTCACCTCCTCCAGGCTGTCCTCTTCCAGGCTGTCACTGTCCAGCTCCTCAGAGCCCAGTCCCAGCAGCTCCTCATTCTCCAGGATCCTCTGCTGGAGCCCCAGCTGGTCCTGCCCCTCCTCAGGAAGGCTCTCTGAGTCCGAGTCCTGGGAGTCCTGGGGGCTGGAGGCAGATCCCCCTTCCCTCACAGTCACCCTTTGCCATTTGGGAGGGTGGAAAACGGGCGGCACGAGGACTTTTGGAGGCACGTGGATTTTATTCACGGTGCGAGAGTGGGGAGAAAACACTGCAGTGTATTTCAGGGCTGAGGGTTTCATGCCGTGCTTTATTTACACCAGCCCTGTGTTTGGAAAACAGAGCGAACAAAAAGGGTTGTTGGCCTTATAATAATGATAATATTTATGAAAAGCTGCGGTTGTGGGTACTATTGTTGGCTAAGGCTCAGAATCTAGCTTTTATTGTTCAAGAATTCTTTATCCTCATCTGTCACACTCATGTTTCATTAAGCAGTTAATATCAAGGTCCCTATGCAGCAACTGCTATGAAATCCACCTTAAGCTACTGGTGGTCATAAATAATGCATAACCAGCTTTTGAAAAGGAAAATGAAGCTGAGACAAAGCAACAAGATGTTATCTGTTAACTTTTGAGAGTTCAAATGAATTCTGGATGTTCTCTTTATTCGACTTGATACCATCTTGACATGACATGCAAAACCAGCAAGGAAGTGTGACAGGGAACAACACAGTGAAAAGAACTGGAACATTCTAAATTAGGACGAGAGTTTCTTTACATTTGATTGAAGTGTTCAGAAGTCCTTAAGGTAAAGTGTCTGGGAGTGAGGAAAAAGGCTGGTTTATGGTAAAAGGTACATTAGTCACAGCACATACGTGGGTAAAGGTGCACAGGGAGTGTCACCTTAGCACGTGGGTGATAAACAATTCCTAATTTTTCAGGTGAGACCAGCAGTGCTAACCCTGACACCTGGACAGACACCTGTGCCCATTGGTCCATCACTGGTCACCCACACAGCCTGGAGGGCAAAGCCCAGGGCGGGCAAGGAAGGTGGAATCTCACTGAGAATTGCCTCTCCCTCCACAGTGTCCAAGAGGGAGGTGAGACCCTGCCTGCAACCCCTGTCCCAGGTCCCTCGGGGGTCAAAGCAGGACCTCAGTCCCTGGAGAAAAGCCAGGCCAGATGTGTGTTCCCCGAGGTGTCCCCAGTCCCATGTTCCCATCCCCTGTCCTCTCACCCTGGTTCCCTTTCCCAATCCCCCATCCACTGTCCCTGTCCCATTTCCCTGCTCCCTTCACACTGGTCCCTTGTCCTGGTCCCCTCTCCCAGTTCCTCACCCCATTTCCCCTCTCCCCAGTCCCCTGTTCCCAGCCCTGTCTCCCTGTCCCTGGTCCCCTCACCCCCATCCCCTTTTCCATGTCCCCTGTCCCCATCCCTTTTCCCATGTCCCTTCACCCACCCCCCTGTCCCACGTCTTCTGTCCCCAACCTCCTCTCTTCATCCCCTGTCCCCAACCCCTCAGCCCCTGTCCTTGTCCCAGTTCTTCCCCTTCCCTTGTCCCCATCCCCAGTCCCCGTCCCCAGTTCCATGTCCTTTCTCCTTGTCCCCAGTCCTGTTCATTGCGGTCCCCTCTCCCTGTCCCTGTCCCCCCACCCGTGTCCCCTCTCCCTGTCCCTTGTCCCGTTCCTTCCCTTCCCCTCTCCCGGTGCCCTGTCCCCATCCCCTGTCCCCATCCCCTGTCCCACGGCTCCCATCCCCTCTCACCCTCTCAGTTCCCGGCTCATTCCCGGTCCCATTCCCGGCCGTTCCCCCCGTTGCCATGGTAACCGGGAGGACGCGCTCGGCACGTACCAAGCGCGGGGGGAGCGGGGGGAGCTCGTTCTCCCCCCCCCCGGGCGGGGCTGTGGTAGCGCCCGGGAGGAGCCGCTTTTCCACCGAAAAACGGGATTATTTCCATCCCTCCCACTCCCCCGGGAACCGAAAGGGATATTTCTCTCATTAGACATTCAAACCCGCTTTGCATCGTTTTTTTTTTCTAGCGAGAAATAACGAATTCGAACGGCAAAACCGCCGCTTTCTGTTGTCATGTGTGTGTCCTTTATTTCAGGCGTTCGGTTTTACCCTCCTGCGACAGGAAAGGATGCTGTGGCAGAGCTCTGCGGGTGTCAAGTCCTGGCGAAGCTCCCACCTTGCCTGCTGGCAGGGCAGTGACTCCATTCCTGGATTTGGGGGGAGTCCCACGTGTAACATCCTGAATCCCCTTCACGTTCACAGAAGCATAAAATCATAGAATGGTTTGGCTTGGAAGGGACCTTAAAGGACATCCATCTTCTCTATAACACCCCTGGGATCTTAGGTGATGTGGGAGACTGTAACTGGTGATGTTGTGCACAGCAGGGAGGGATGTTATCCTTGGGCAGGTGAGAAATGTTATCCTGGGACAGGTGAGAAATGTTATCCTGGGACAGGTGAGGAACTGAGGCAGAAGTCCTAGAGAGGGGCAATAACCTTCTTTTTTTAACCCCCTGCTTGGTTAAATCCAGCTGGAGGTCCATGTCTGGAGGCAGAATGAGATCATACAAGGTTTGCAGCACCTTGGATTTCCTGCTCAGTCCTGTGGTCACTGGAGCAGTACATTAATATTTTTGTATGGACTGAATATCTTCAGAGGACCCCAGTTGCTGGTGGGATCTGGGATGGGATTGATGAGCTCTATTTCTGGCAGTGGTTAATGGAATCCTCTGAGGATTACAGGTGAACCAGTCCATGGCTGACAGGTTTTCAGGAGCACCAGTCCCATCTACCTGTCCTGCTGTTTAATAAAAGCAGTCCCAGTTGGCTTTTGGATGGAAAGCAGCTGCTGCTGCTCCTGCTCCTTGAAATCATGAGACCTGAGATCTTTGACATGAGGAAAAAGGGAGGTTTCTGCACATGGAACAGGTTTCCCATTGCTATACATCTGTTTCCTTTCCACATGCAAACGTTTTCTCACTTATTGCAGTGGTTTTGTCACTTGGATTCTTCAGGGTGGTTTCCCCATATCCTTCTGCTACATATTGCAGGTTGGGCTTGTGATTGGCAACTGAAACACAAACACACATTTATTATTATTATTATTATTATTATTATTATTATTATTATTATTATTATTACTACTATCATCTGCAGAAATGCCCCAAAGGGATTAGTTTATGTTGGTTAAAGCTTTTTACCTTGTCCATTCTTCTCGTGGCCTGGACTGTCTTCATTAGATCTGGATTTATAACTCTCCAGTGTCTGCTCTGAAACATCATTTTCTGCACAGAAAACAAGTGTAATTATGAGAATGATTTTTTTCCCACAACTCTTTCTCACCCTTTGCCTTGAGCATTCTGAGGGCCTAGTTATGAAATGGGGGTTCAATCAACCTGACCAGCTCAGAGACAGGCTTAACACAGCAATTCCATGGTCAATATTCCAGGGCCTTCACCCACCTCTCTTCCACACTCCATGAGCTTTTTTCAGCTTCATCATGAAGAGCAGGACAATGATGAGCAGCACAAAAATCAGGGCAGCCACCAGGATTGGCAGCAAGAGGTCCTTCTCCTTCTTTATGATGCCTTTGGATTTGGGATCTTGCTCTGGAACAGAGGCAAGGGGGTGTTTGTCTTGTGAAATGTCCTGTGAGCCTCTGGTAATTAGCACAATAACCTGGACCAGGCCAGATGAACATGATAGAGGAGCAGAATTCACCTTATTTGACTTAATTTTAGGATATGAGGTCAATATTTTTATTGTGTGAATAAGAAAAAACCGATTGAAATCGGTGGACTTGTGCTCTGGCACAACAAATAGCAAAATTTAGCTTTTTTTCCCCCTAGATGATACAAATGGCTGTGTTTCTGTGGTCTCCCCCAGAATTACAAGCCTTACAAACGTTACCCTGGTTCGGAGGGGGAAATGTGGTCAGAGAGACCCAGCCCGGTGTCAGAAAGCTCCTTTCATGTTTGGAAGCTCATTAAGGAGTTCCTACCAGCAGTGAGGGTGGAAGTCACAGTGGTGTTTTCACGTGGCCGTGGGGCTTCTGTCCTGGGAAGTTCCTCTGCTGTGACATTTCCTTTGGATGCTGTCTCAGTCCCTGGAGGAATGGAAAGAACAATATTTCTCTGAAGGACCAAGAGATGCTTAAGAAATGCGTATTTTCCCAGCAGCTTTGAAGCACCTGGGACTTCCCCTGACTTAGAGTTTTCTGCTCACTCCCCTGATTCTGGATTTTGTTTAAATGTTGTGAACAGAAAAGCCTCAGAGTCTCTTACACATTCTGGAACTCAATGATTCCCCTTTACAGCCAAATTAGAACAAAGCTGAGCTTTGACTCTTTGGTCATTTGGGGCCTTTCCCTGTCCATCAGTTTGCTTCCTTTGCTGGGAAAACCAGGAGTGAGTGCGTATCCTTCTTCTTAAAGGAGATATTTTGGTGTTCATATCCCTGGCTACTCCTTTAGTGTCTTCACAGCCCCCAGTGGTGCAGTCCCAGGGTGACAATCCCTGTCCTTTGCCATCACCCCCCCGTGTCTGATGATGTAAATCGTACCACTGGGGTCACCATAACCCGAGGAACCTCCCACTTCTTCATCTCCTGATGAAGCTGCTGATCCTTCAGGCCCTGCACAGACAGAGAGACGAGTTCTGACTTTCTTATGGGCATAGACAATATATCCTTGTGTAATTTACTTTGATTTGTAAAGCTAAAATGATGATGATGCACCAAAACTTTGCATTTTCCTCCCTCTCAGGTGGGTGAGCACACCTTGTGAAAGCCACACAATCACAGAGTGGTTTGGGGTTGGAAAAGACCTTAAAGACCAACTAGTTCCACCCTTAAAAGATTCAGGCTCCCCTTCCATGTGTGTTTATCAACACATGTATGAATTGTTTATCGTTCTGTGGTGTTTGTAATCAGCGATGTAGCGCTTTTGAACAAAAATAAACAAAGAGTTCGTGCATTTCTAAAGCAGCAATTGACTTTTCACCGCAGGGGCCTCTCATGCCAGGCAGGCACAAAACCCTTGGTGGGGTTTGGCCAACTTCTTTGGGCAGTGGAGCTCTTGATTCTGCTGGAAAGACCTCGGTAAGTGCAGCCTGGTGCAGGCACAGGTTTGTGTTGTTGCACAGTGCCATCTAGTGCAACCCATCCAGAGGATCCCAGCCTGGATCCCACCATCCTGCTGCATCTGAGGAGAGAGGCTTTGGCTGCCTGCATGGCTGGAAACTGGGAAAGCAAGTGATAAATGCTGTGTTTAATGTTCCACAGCTCTTTGCAACGTGGGATGTGTGGCAGTT